CAAAAATTTGTAAGTCTACAACTGTACCTCATGGTGTCTCACTAACAAAAATTAAAAAAAAAAAAAGCTAATTTTACAAATAAGTCTTTGTTGTTGTTGTTTTGGTTTGGGGACATTGTCTGGCAGTATTCTGGGTTTCTGGTCTACACTTAAGGATCATTCCTGGTAGGTCTTGAGGGCACATATGCAGTGCTGGGGATTGAACCCCAAAGGGCTGTGAGCAAGGTGGGCGCCTTCTCTGCTGTACTCTCTGTGTGGCCCTACAGAATAACTCTCGATGCCATAACTAAGCTTTGGAAATGACATGAAAGTCATGGCACGCATGATTATATGAGCAGTAGAACCTAGAACTCTTGTTTTTTCTTTTGGTTTTGGGCCATACCTGGCTGTGCTCCTGGCTCCGCGTTCAGGGATCATTACTGGTGGGTCTTGGGGGAGCATATGGGATGACTGGGATCCAACCCGGTTGGCCGCCTTCGTACCCTACTCGTGAGCTCCTGAAATTGGACTCCGAAGTCTCATGTTTTGTTTGGGCACCACGCCAAGTATGCTGTTGTGGGGGCTGGGTGCGCTACTGCCAGCTCTGTGCTGGGGGTTGCTCCTGGCAGTGCTTAGGGGGCCATGTGGTCCCAGGGACTCCCACCCACCTCCGGGGCAAAGTCTTCATTCCAGTCCCTTGAGCTCTTCCTCCAGGCCTTGACTCCAAAATTTTATTAACATTTTGGTTTGCCAGTACCTAAATGTAATTTAGAGTTAGATTTTGGTAGAATCAGGAGTGAAAATGGACTGTTTCTAGTATTCTGTTTTAGGAAGCATCAGGTCTTAGAACATATCTATTTATAACGCTAAGGTTTAGAAGCTAGCATTTTCCTTTAATGTATTATTAATATGCAAAATATGAGCACATACATAATAGTTTGTAGAGTTATAATTTGATTTAATATCCCTTAAAGTTAAAGCTGTATCAGATTAATCACTTAATTAATTTTGCTGTGGTTCTCTCTTTTCAAACATTTTTTGGTTTTGGGCCACATCCAGCAATGCTCAGGAATTACTTCTGGCAGTGCTCTGGGACCATATGGGATACCTTCTTAGAGGTGTTGCATAGTAGAGTGGCAGGCAAGCATTGTAAGCCCTGTGGTCCTTTATTTCACATTTGGTTAGCTTTCCTATGGTTCCACTCTCATTATATCCACAGCAGTGAATTTTCATGCCCCCCGAAAAGATACAGTGATGCTTTTTACCACTGTTTCCTAAGGGAGAATCACTTCCTGGGTGATTCATTAGTTTGAGGTCATGTTTCTTTGACAGAACAGTGGTGGTGGGTTGAATCATGTTTTCCTAAAATTCATCTGCTTTTCAAGTTCTAACCTCCAGTACCTCGGGATTTGGCTTGGTTCACAGATGGCCCATCAACTGGGGTCATTGTGGCAGGCTCTGATCAGGGATGGCCGATGTCCATATGGAATGGGGGACATTTGGAGACATGCCTCTACAGGGAAAACCAGGAGCGTGAAGCTGACTTCCGTGAGCCACAGGAAAGGGCGGGACAAACCCTTCACTTTCCAACCCTTTCCACACCTTGGCTTCCAGTATCTGGTCTCAAACGAAAGCCCAGACATTTTGTTGTTTGAATCACTCTGGTGAGACACCACAGGCCTTGCTCAGACCCTTGGTCACCTGAGCCAGAGCTCCTTGTCCAAACCCCGTGGCTGGCTGCTCTTGGTCTGTGAAGCAGTGGGGACTGATTTCATCCTGAATCTTGTCATCCTTGTAGCCTCCGGAGAAGCTGTGTTCGAAATCGATGTCTTTCCCAGTGGTGTGAACTACACCCGCATCCCCTTGTAGCTATGAGATGCTTTGTTCTGTCAGGTTTCTTCCTTCAGGTGCCCTGGGCCTTGGATGCCAGAATGTTCTTTGCTATTGCCTCAGAGCCAGCCCATCTCCCTGTAGCACATGCATTCCTGAGCTCCGAACCTCTGTGATCTGCATCTCTGTCAGCCAGGCGGCATGCATTGGACACGAGTCCTCAGATATCTAGAGGAAAGCGTTTTCTTTCCAGTTCTCGCCATATTGCGTTCCATGCTGTGAATTTACTTAATCAAGAGAAATCTTCTCTTTGAGGAGCTGAGTTTAAAACTGAACACTGATGCCATGAAAAAAGGAACTCCTTCCAGGGTCTCTTTTTGAGGAAGTCACTGTTGCCTGTGTGTTCAGTGAGGGTCAGGGCAAACCACACTGGTTAACATCAGTGCTTCCTTTCCTTCCCCAGTACCAAAACAGGACGGTGGCAGACAGCATTTGTTGATGTCACGATAGCGAAATGGTGAGCATGACGTGTAGTTTTAGTAATAGAAAGTGAGCTCACAATCTCTTCTTTAGGTCTGTCCCTTTTAATGGTAGCAAAATAATAATGTTTGTGTTTTTTTTTTTTTTTAGTGGGTGGGTAATCAAATCGATGAAAGCCATCCATGCATTTGTTTCAAGAATGGCAGGAGCTTAAAGAAAAGGCTTTGGGAATGTGACTGGGATGGTGGAGCACAGGGGTTGCATTTTGAGTTTCTGTCATGATAAGGTCTCCTGAGCACAGCAAGCAGTACCCCCTACCCCTCCACCCTCCTACCCGCCCCCCAAAAAATTCAGAAAAAAAAAAGAGAAATGAAATAAGTCTTTTCTAGGAATAAGACTATGGCGGTCAAACTCATTTCAGTTTTTTGGGGAACATACCGGGTGGTGAGAGTCTATTCCTGCCCCTGTGCTCAGGGTCCCTTCTCACCTGGTGCCGGGGATCAAACCTGTGTTGGTGTGTGCAAGGCAAGTGCCCTCCCTGCCGTACTGTTTCTCCACCATCCAACTAATTTCGTTCACAGAAAGTGACTGTTCTTTTAAGTGTTCCTGAAAATTGTTCAGGGCAGCCTTAAGGGTATACAATTATAGATATAATTCTTTAAATTGAGTCAGCGTGAGATACAGTTACAAAACTTTCATGTTTGAGCTTCAGTCATACAATGATTGAACACTCATCCCTCCAGCAGTGCTCAGGCTTAACATTCCCCACCACCAGTGTTCCCAGTATCCCCCCAACCTTCCAACATTCTCCTCTGCCTCTAGGGCAGACAATTTCCCCCCATACTCTCTCTCTACTTTGGGGCATTATGGTCATTGTGGTTTGCAATATAGATACTGAGAGGTTCTCACGTTCGGTCCTTTAACTACTTTCAGCACATATCGCCCATCCCAAGCGATCCCTCCAACCATCATTGACTTAGTGATCCCTTCTCTATCCCAGCTGCCTTCTCCCCCCGCTCATGAGGAAGTCTTTGGAGCAATATTCCTGGCCCTTGTGTCTACTGTACTTGAGTGTCAGTCTCATTTTGTGTTATTTTATATTTCACAAATGAGTGCAGTCATTCTATGTCTATTCTTCTCTATCTAATTTCACTTAGCATGATACTCTCCATAACCATCCACTTATAAGCAAATTACATAACTTCATCTTTCCTAGAAACTGCATAGTGTTCCATTGTGTAGATGTACCAAAATTTCTTTGACCAGTCGTCTGTTCTTGGGCACTTGGGTTGTTTCCAGATTCTGGCTATTGTGAACAGTGTTGCAATGAACATACAGGTGCAGATGTCGTTTCTACTGTATTTTTTTGCACCCTCTGGATATATTCCTAGAAGTGGTATTGCGGGGTCAATACATATTGTTTTATGTCACTTGAAAATCTTGGGCAGAAAAATAAATCACTGCAGGGAACTTTCTTTGGTTTTCTCATCTGTTAAGCCTATAGGAAACTCTTGTGACCCCTGTGATCTGCTAACAAACTTCTGTCTTCTATGGGACCCTCTTGGATCATCTCAGTCCTTCTTTTTTTTCTTTTTTTTTTTTCTTTTTGCTTTTTGGGTCACACCCGGCGATGCACAGGGGTTACTCCTGTCTCTGCACTCAGTAGTTACTCCTGGTGGTGCTCAGGGGACCATATGGGATGCTGGGAATTGAACCCGGGTTGGCCACGTGCAAGGCAAACGCCCTACCCGCTGTGCTATCGCTCTAGCCCCCTCAGCCCTTATTTCTAACTTGTCTGAATTGTGGTCACTGAACGTCTCCTATTAATTTTATTGTGGTGGAAAACACTCCTGGTAGTGCCTGGAGACCATAGGTACATTGGAGGTTGGAGCCTGCAGTGCCAGGATCGAACGCGGACACTGTACAAGCTTTGCCTGGGCTCTGTCATATGAGCCAGACTCCCAGCCTCACACTCAAATTATTCACCAGAAATAAATTTTTTATTCCGCAAAATTGGGTTTAAAGAAGTTGATTCCTTCAGATTGCAGAATTTATCAGATGTGACCTGGTGATAGAATGGATTTGTCCTTAATATGGTTGAGTGAGTCTTTCTCTCTTTGGTGTTTAATACACTGAGAAACAACGCTGAGATTTTCTTGCTCTTGGTCTTTCTTACTGGTTTTGAGACTTAAGATTTTGAGACTCACTTGTCATTTTGTGTAGCAAAGGTTCTGAACTTGGGCTGTGTGGGTGCTGATTTGCTCCGCATTGATTCTCCTTCCCTGTGGGGCTCTGAGACCCTCCGTCTTTATCTCTGAAAGGGGTGTGAAAGTAGTACTGCTTTCCTTGGGGGGGCATTGCCTGAGAGTAACTGGGGACATTGGTATTGGGAAATGTGCACTGGCAAAAGGACAGGTGTTGGAACATTGAATGACTGAAACTCAGTCATGATCAATTTCGTAACTGTGTATCACTGTGATTCAATTAAAAAAATTAGATTTTTTTAAAAAAGGTCATACTGCTTGATTTGTTGTGAGTATTGAAATTTTAATTAGATTACATTTGAGTATGTATAATGAGATTATGTATGCACATACATAGTGTTCAAAAGAATTTCTCACACATACGAAGTTCAAGTTGACTTTAAAAATGGTTTATGATTTTTACCAGGAAATACTACAACTCCTGATGTTATTCTTGTCATGTTCCAGGTTTGAAGACACAATGGCAGGAAACAGCCTTGTTCTACCCATCGTCCTTTGGGGGCGCAAAGCCCCAACACACTGCATCTCCTCAGTGCTGTTAACAGACGACAGGGCCACCATTGTCACTGGATGCCATGATGGACAGATCTGTCTTTGGGATCTTTCTGAGGACTTGGAAGTGAGTATGTACAATGCCTGTTGCACGGTTAAAATGCAAGAACTGGACAGTATAGGGGGCGAGGTGCTTGCTTGCATTGCATGTTTATTTTAGACCCTAGTTTAGTCCTGCATAAGGTCCCTTGAGGACCAGAAATAACCCTGAGTACAGAACCAGAAGTAGATCCTGAGCACTGCTGGGTAGGGTTTCCAAGCCCCTCTTCTCCCTCTGCCTAAAATAAAAGCACTGTAGCACTGTCCTCCCGTTGTCCTCCCAATTTGCTCGAGTGGGCCCAGCAACGTCTCCATTGTGAGACTTACTGTTACTGTGTTTGACATATCAGATACATCATGGGTAGCTTGCCAGACTTTGCCGTGCGGGCAAAATACTCTTGGTAGCTTGCCAGGCCCTCAGAGAGGGGCAGAGGAATTGAAGAGGGTAGGGCATTTGCCTTACATGAGGCCAACACGGCTGACCCGAGTTCAATTCCTCCGCCTCTCTTGGGAGAGCCTGGCAAGCTACCGAGAGTCACCCGCACAGCAAAGCCTGGCAAGATACCCATGACATTCGATATGCCAAACACAGTAGCAACAAGTCTCAATGGAGACGTTACTGGGCCTGCTTTAACAAATCAATGAGTAATGGGAGGACAGTGACAGTGATAGTGACTTAATTGAAAGTAATGTGTCCCCAGAATAATGCTTGGTTCCTAATACATTTACTGCGACATACATTTTGACTCTGATTGCTTTTGGCTGTTTTCATATCTTGTATTTATCCTCAGTAGCTTAAATGTTGCACTGATGCACGGGGTGGGGTGGGGGTGGGGGAATCCCAAAAAGATTAGTAGACAAAGAACCAGTTTGGAGTATCTGTACCTCTATAGTGGATTAAGGAAGCAGAACTTTTATAAAATAGTGTTTATTTTTGGGTTTTGGGCTACACCTGGCATTGCTCAGGAGTTATTCCTGGTGGTACTTGGGGGACTCTATGGAATGCCCGGGATCAAACCTATGTCGGTCACATGCAAGCCAAACACTTTACCAACTAGACTAAGGCTCCAGCCCTATAGAGTGTGTTTTGTTGTGTTTGATACTCTGCTGGAGTATTCCATGTCAAAGTCTGCAGACTAAGCAAATCAGAGTGGGAGCACTGATCCCTCCAGTTCCAAACTCACCTCCCTCTGGCCACTTTCCTCAGAAATGTGCAGGGTGAAAACAGAAATGGGTGGTGACTATCCAGCATGTGTAGTTAGCAAAGTTGATTTTTGTTTCTTTTTTGATTTGGGGGCCACACACGGCAGTGCTCAGGGGTTACTCCTGACTCTGTACTCAGGGAACACTCCCAGTGGTGCTGGGGTCCAGGGATCAATCCTGGGTCAGTCACTTGTTGTGGAGCATGGCTACGGGCACGGAGCAGGTAAGACCTGACCTGGCAAAGCGGCCCAGAAACGAAGCCTCGAAAGAGGGACTATCTGGGCAAAGTTGGCAAGAACAGGGTGCCAGCACGGGGTGTTCGGCCTTGATCCTCACTCAACCTCCAAGTTACATGTGCCAAAGACACAGAAACTGTTCACGTGCACTTAGGAGGTCATCCTAACCACAGCATCTAGCTTTGATTGGGTTTGGACCGGGCAGAGCAGAGAAGAAAAGATGATAGGCCAATGATACAGAACTCCATGTGATAGGACCTTCTTGTAAGCTGGGACCCTCTATAAAACATGTGTGTATTTGCCAATAAAATGAACAGTTACTGGCTGCTCCCGGCAGGTGTTTCTCCGGGCACTGGTCATCCTTTGCCCCACGTATGCCCGGACCTGGTGCACAATGTGTCCGGGCACATTGGGGAATACTGTTCCCCAACAATTTGCCAGACAAGTGTCTTTACCTTTGTGCTGTCTCTTCAGTCCAAGAAAGTTGATTCTTTATTTTTTGGGGGGTAACAGCTCTTGTGAGAAGCAGTTTACATGTCACAGTAGTCACACACTTTAAGGTATAAAATTGAATATAGGTTGCTATTCTGGACATTTCACATAAATGAAACAGTTTAATAATGTGGTTCTCTTATGACTGGATTTTCCACTTAGCCAAGTGGTTCAGGGTTCTGATTGTAGCATGTTTCATATTTCATTTCTTTTCCTGGCCAAGTATGATTGCATTGCATGGGTCGATCATATGTTACTGCTTGCTATAGTTGACAGGCATTTCGTTTTTTATTCACCTTTGGTAGGACTGAATAATGCTGTTGTGAACAATTTCAAATGAGCGTGTGTATATGTATTTTGATTGATCTTAGGTATACACTTAAAGAATGAAGTTGCTAGTACTGGAAAAATGACCCACAGACTTGGGTAATTCTTAAGGCTGGATGGTGTTCAGATTGGGAAATAATTAGAAATGAGATTGTAGAATATGATATGCCTTCAAAACTGCAGCAGACTAGATATGAATCAGCAGTATGGAGATGGGGGTTATTCATTGTTTTACTGAGTGATTGCCAAATGATAAGGCTTGCCTGTGAGATTTCTTTTTTTCTTTTCTTTGTTTTGTTTGTACCTGGTGGTGGGCTGGAGCAATAGCACAGCAGGGTAGGGCATTTGCCTTGCATGCGGCCAACCCGGGTTAGATTCCTTCGTCCCTTGGAGAGCCCGGCAAGCTACCAAGAGTACCCCACCCACATGGCAGAGCCTGGCAAGCTTCTGTGGTGTATTCGATATGCCAAAAACAGTAACAACATGTCGAGCAAATTGATGAACAACAGAAGGACAGTGCTGACAGTGCTGATACCTGGTAGTAATCAGGGGTTACTCTTGGCTCTGTGACCAAAGGTCACTTCAGGAGGTACTCAGGAAGTCATATGTGGTGCTATGGATCAAACCAGAGTTGGCCATGAGCAAGACAAATGCCTTAACCCCTCTACTATTGAGAGGTCCTTCCTTCCTTCCTTCCTTCCTTCCTTCCTTCCTTCCTTCCTTCCTTCCTTCCTTCCTTCCTTCCTTCCTTCCTTCCGCCACATCCAACAGTGCTCAGGACTTAGTCCTGATTCTGTGTTCAGGGACAACTCTTGGTGGGCTTTGGGAACTATATGGGGTTCAGCCACATGCAAGGCCAAGCAAGAGTCTTAGCTACTATACTATCTCTCTGGCCCTATAGGGAGTTTTTTTTTTTTTTTTGCTTTGCTTTTTGGGTCACACCTGGCGATGCTCAGGGGTTACTCCTGGCTCTGCACTCAGGAATCACTCTTGGCGGTGCTCGGGGGAACATATGGGATGCCTGGAATCGAATCCAGTCAGCTGCGTGCAAGGCAAACACCCTACCCGCTGTGCTATTGCTCCAACCCTGCTATAGGGAATTTTTATTCATAAAAGAACATTAAATTTTGTAAAAAAAAGATTTTTTTTTGCTATTCACTGAAGTGACCATGTAAAATTTCCCCATTTAGGTATTTTTTTTTATGGTTTTCTAGATAACGGTGGGAGTAATACTTGTTTCTAATTATCTGTTATAGGAAAAATAAAAATTTGCATTGAAGACAAGCATATGAGAAAATTGACCATTTCTAACTTTATTTTCTTGGAAAAAATTGAAAGAATTCAACAAGAGCAACTTTTCCTCAATGGGAGAGTACCGTAATATCATTATAGAGGTGGCCTGGATGTATGAGAAGCTTTTGTAGCCCTGTTCGAGTCATAAAAATTCATTTAAATTTTCTCGTGGTACTGTGCAACAGATGGCCAAGATGAATTGATTTGGAAAATCTTTTACGTTTCACATGTTAGAATTCTAGCACACTCTCCATGCTTTTTCTGTGCAATATTAAATTTGGAACAATTTTGCTCGCCTAACAAATCAGGATAAATTGTTTCAAGGTGGACACCACTAAATGAACTGAAGGAGTTTTTCAAGGTCTTGGCTATGGTTTAAGTTATGTTATTATTATTTGATTTGGGCCACACTTGGCGATGCTCAGGGCTTACTCCTGGCTCTGTGCTCAGGGATCACTCCTAATGGTTCCCGGGGGACCATATGGGATGTTAGGGATGGAACCTGGGTTGACCATGTGTGAGGCAAGCGCCCTCCCTGCTCTGTTGTGACTCTGGCCCAAGTGCCGTCTATTTTATTTTGATCAGGAGTGTTAAACTAGAGACCTACCTGTATGTTCAGATCACTGAAGGTCTTATTTAAAAACTAGGTGAAAACAGACTTTTTGGTTAGTTTTTGCATATGCCCAGAGATCCTCAGGGGCTACTCTCCATGGTGCTTTTGGGCAGTTCCTGGTGTATTGTCAGGGTGTTGCTTCCAGTGGTGCTTAGAGGACCAGGCAGTGCCCGGAGTTTGAGCCTGGCCTCCTATGAAACAAGTGCTCATGCCTTTTGTGCTGTCACTATGTCCTGAGATCAGCTTTCATACATGCTAATTTACTTTCCCTGGCTTCTCCTTATTCTGTAGCTTAGAGCTTCAAATTGCCATGGCTTGAAATTTCCCCGTTACTCTCCAGTCTGTTGGGTGCTCCTGGGGTTCTGTTGCAGACCTCGGAAATGCTTGGTAGGGTGACTGTGAGCCGTAAGTGGGTGGGATTGAAGGTTTCATTGCTGTTATTTTTATAGTTCTTCTCAAATCTATAGTAATATATTTATATTAAACATTTAATGTGATTCCTAAAGAAGATTAATTTTTAAAACCTTAGTACTGGGCTGGAGAGATGATAATACAGCAGTTAGGGCGTGTTTGGCTTGCATGCGGCTGACCTAGTTCTTTCCCTGACACCTGATATGGTTCTTGAGAACCTCCGGAATGATCCCTGAGCACAGGGCCTGGAGTAAGTCCCGAGCACTGCCAGGTGTGGACCCAAAGCAAAGCAAACAAAAATAAAACCCCAAAACCTCATGAAAACCAATACATATATTTGTTTTTCCAGGTTAATCCCCGAGCATTGCTGTTTGGTCATACAGCTTCAATCACTTGTTTGTCTAAAGCTTGCGCTTCTGGTGAGAAACAGTATATTGTCAGTGCATCTGAAAGTGGGTAAGTATTTTCTTTTTCATGTTCCCCCCCCTCATCTGTCTTTATTTCAAATGCCACCAGTGTATTAGTAAGTAGAGTATTTTTGTTTTATTAACTTATGGAGCATCTTTCCAATTAAGTACTTAGGTTGTCCCAATCTAAAGAGTAATTTAAATATTTTAAAAATATGAATTTTAGAATTTTAAGTGATCTTTTTTCTTTTTATAATGCTTTGGTTTTTATTTATAATCAGTTCCTTGTTTTGCCTTTGAGAAACCCATTAATACCATGAAAGTGAAATGATGGCCATTGATCATCATGGCACTTTCTGGCAGACAGCTTTGTGAGTTTTAAGAGATGGGAATGATGCTGAGTTAACCTAATTTTGGGAGATGGAGCCATGCAAAAACCTACCAACATTGTATTGCTCTATGTCGGCCCATTTCTATTGCTATGTATTCTACTGCATTCAGAATACAATTTACCAAGGTGGAAAGATCATTGGACAGTTACTGTAGGACCCAGTGTCAGGCATTTGTAGAACTTCTTTTGAAAATTAGGAAATTTGTGTATTTATACACTTTACTACTGAAGAGTGTTTGGGGAACTGGAAGAGAATGGTTTTAAAAGATATCTCCTCCATCCTCTATCATTTATGAATTTGAAAAGAAATTTATGTTATCAGAACAAGTACAGAAAGAATCAGGTACCAATATTGTTTCTTTTGGTTAATTTTACCTTGCATTAGAACATAAATTCTAAATAGGTTGAAAAAATCATTTCATACCATGTGAGATATATGCTATGAAATGATTTTTTAAAAAACAATCTGTTAAGAATATTTAGAAAGGGCATTTTAAAACCCTAATCATAATAGATTCATGATTTGTTGACTTTAATTTTTGTGTTTGACATTGCTAATTTTTCTGGTTGTGTAACAGCTAATGAAAAATTCCAGTGACTTTACATTAAGAGTTTATAGGGCTGAGGAGAGAGCTCAGTAACTTGCAGTGAGCTAAGTGCTTTTGCATGCAAGAACCCTGGGTTCAAACCCTGGTACCACATGGTCCTCTGAGCACAAAGCGGGGAGTAGCACGTGCTGCTGGGTATGATACAACACCCCACCTCCCCCACCGGAAAGTAGAGTGCATGTCCCTGTATGTCCTGTTTTCATCACTTGCCCCTCAATTACCTCTTGGGACTCTGCCCTGTTCTGTTATAGTCCTTTGAAGTTGGAGGTGAATTGAATAGCCACTATCTGGAAAAGCCACTGCTGAGAAAGGAGAAAGAGAATCCTGTAGGGCCTCAGAGCAGTTCTTTACTGAATTTCACCTACCAAGAGGGAGCAAGGAAAGGCAATGCAATCTCGAGCCTGCAGAGAATTCAGACAGAGGTGGGGGAGGGGCAGGGCAGGAGGAAGGATGGAATGGTAGGTGCGGGGGCCAGAATGCCGAATAGCACCCAGACTGTGTTGTCTGTATTTTTCTATTAGAAGATGAATTTTTAACCACTGTGACCAAGTTGAATCTAAAATGAACCATTTTTTTTGTTTATTTGTTTTTTATAGAGAGATGTGTCTCTGGGATGTGAGTGACGGCAGATGTATCGAATTTACAAAACTCGCCTGCACACATACTGGCATACAGGTTAGTATCTGAAAATGTAGTCCACATTGTTTGTTGTAGTATGCAATTAGAAAGGTTTTTCAAACACTGAGCCTATGTATGTATGTATGTATATATATCTGTTTTACATTAAAACATTTTTTTTTCTTTTGGTTTTTGTGCCACGACCAGCAGTGCTCATGGTTTCCTCCTGGCTCTGTCCTCAGGGAGCACTCCTGCTGGGCTTGGGGGAGCATATGGGGTCCCAGGGATCGAACCCAAGCTAGCTGTGTGCAAGGCAAACATCTTACTTGCTATTCTGTTGCTCCGGCCCCTGTACTTTTTGACTTACACTGGTTTTCTGCCTTACTCTTTCATAACTTTCAAGTTCTTTCTCCTTCAATTTGTGAGGCTATGAAGATGAGAGTATATGGCACACACTGTTGTCTGTGGGGGAAGAAAAGGGAAGCGAACTCACATTTATTGAGCCCGTATTATTATTGCGTATGCCAAAAACAGTAGCAAGTCTCACAATTTGTTACTGGTGCCCGCTTGAGCAAATCGATGAACAATGGGAGGACAGTGACAGTGATGGTGTGTCCATTAGTCCTCCCACCTCTGTCCAGGTGAAATTGAAATTTATTGTTTTACGTAACTGGTGTGCTGAGCTGATATGCCTTAGGTTTTTTTTTTTGTTGTTGTTGTTTGTTTGTTTGTTTTTCTCTCAAAGAACTAGCTTTCGGTTTCTTTGATCTTTTGAACTGTTTTTTGGGATTCCAGTTCATTTATTTCTTTTTTAGGTTTTATCATACCTGCCTTGGTTTTGCAGCGTGTCATTGCCAGCACTAGAATCTCTGGTCATGTCTGTGTGACTCGGGGCTGTGTTCTTTGTGTTACATCATTTCACTGTCCTCTGACCGGAGCAAACAGAATCTTTACTGGGAACCAAAACCACGCTCTGCTTGATTTAGAAAAGCAATGGCAATGTTTACTGGGGTGCAGGTTTTTAGGGACTATTTCTGACCCTATTAAAGGCTTTCCATGTGTGTGTGTGTGGGGGGGGGGGGGGGACGAATGGTGGAGGGTGTGCCAGTCCTGGTGATACTTAGCCTACTTCTGTTAAAGGTTTTATAAAAATTGTTCTATCAATACTAGGAGAGTTACAGAGAGAAAATGTTCTTGCCGTGGGTGAAGGGAAATTGGGGACACTGGTGGAGGTAGTAGGCACTAGTGAAGGAATTGGTGTTGGAACATTGTATACCTGAAACTCAAACACAAATATCATATGTAAATATATATATATATGTTTACATATCTATTTTTTTAATGTAGGAGTACTGCTAGGAGTTGTGACATTTATTGCAATTAAGTTGATTGAATCGGCATGAACTCCACCATATATATTTTTTTTATCTAAAGAGACTACATTAATTTTTCTCATAGGATGAAAAATCAGGTTTACAAAGAGAAAAAGGGTGATAAAGACATGTTCCTTCATTAACTTTCTAGACAGTGGATCCATGCAGTCTTTGCATGCAGGAGGTCTGGGTTTGAGCATCAGCACCGCATGGTTACTGGACACTGCCAGGAGTCACCTTGGACATGGAGCTGAAAGTAGCTCCTACACAGAGCCAGATGTGTCCAAATAAATAAAACAGTGAAAATAAAGTAAACATTCTCATGAAAGAAAAACAATGTATGAATGTTTTCAGCTCATTGGGTTTAAGGATTTGATTTATTGAGCTCTGAAACCAGAGTTCGGGAGTGAGGAATTAGGTACCTTAGCAACCGCTTCCTGTGTGGAATGGTTACACGATTGTCCAGCAGGCTTAATTCCTTACCCTCATGTGGTTGACAAAAGGCGCAATCCCTTTGGAAGGAGTAATCTATATGTTCCTCGTTTTCATTTTTTTTCTGTTTTGTTTTGTTTTGTTTTGTTTTGTATTTTGATTCTGGGCCATACATGGCACGGCTCAGGGGTTATTCCTGGTTACTCAGGACTCACTCCTGTTGGTACTCTGGGGACCATATGGGGCGCTGGGGATCAAACCCAGGTTGGTCGCATGCAAGGCAAGTGCCCTCCCCGCTGTCTTATTGCTCTAGCCCCATGTTTTCATCTTTTAAAAGTTCTCCAGGGGAATCAGCCCATTAGTCAATTTTTGAGTTTTAAGGGGAGACACATCCTTTGCTTACGCTATTGGTCTTGTTTTCATGGTTATTCTTCCTCTGCTCTTCAGTTCATAGAGTCCCATCATAAGCCTTTGAGTGATTTTTGGCATAAGTAACGTAAAGAGCATGACAATTTTTGTTGTTCCTATTATTTTTTTCTACAAGATGTAATTGTGCACTATGAGAATGGTTTTCACAGTTGTCTCATACTTTTGTCTGAAATAACATATTTAATCGGAATTTATTTACAATTATATGCTTGAGCATTAGTCATTAACTATACAGGTTTTTTTTTGTTCATAGCTCATAATTATAAGCCTGTTTTCACTTATTCCCACTCATCTAAAATTCAAAAATTTTGGAACCACCTGAGCTTTCCTTATGATTTGATTGTGATTTTATTCAGATGCCTTCTCCTGTTATAGGTAACGCAGAATCAAACGAGAAATTATCATGAGTTCTGTCCCCAAATAGTGCAAAACTGCAGATAAACTGAAAGAAAGAGAATAACTGTTGTTCTAAAGTTTGAAATACTAGAATTTGATGCTTATGTGTGTGTTATGCTTAACACACATAACCTAACACATGTCTGAAAATTTATTGAACAAATTGGACCTTTGTGAGAATATCGTGATCGGCCTGATGAGGGCTTCTGAATCAGCTATCGAAGGGAGACTATTTAAAGTGATTCAATAAATAAATATAAGAAGAAAAATAAATAAATAAATAAAATTATGAAAAAAAAGTAAGGTGGAGTTCATGCCCAATTCAATGCGCTAATCAGTGGCTGAATAAATAGAAGTACTCCTACATAAAAAAAAAACAACAACTATTTCTTGTTGCAGTTTTACCAGTTCTCTGTTGGAAATCAGCGAGAAGGGAGGCTTTTATGCCATGGCCATTATCCTGAAATCCTGGTGGCGGATGCCACCAGCCTGGAGGTGTTGTACTCCTTGGTATCGAAGATTTCTCCAGACTGGATCAGCTCCATGAGTATCATCCGCTCCCATCGGACGCAAGGTCAGTGCGCTGTGCTGCTTAGGAACTCATGCTTTGAATTTGGCTTTAAACACGAACTTCTCTGGTATATCACTGATTAACACAGTTACATTCTTCTGCTGAGAACTGGCTAGCCTTATAGGCTGTCTACCTTCATAAAGATATCTTTGAATTCATACTTACGGTGTTGGGCTGAGAGATAGTACACCTCGGTCTCTAGCCTTGTAACTGAAGTGGTTTCAGTCCCTCAAGCCCCACCAGGAGGGATCTCTGAGTGCAGAGCCAGGTAAGCCCCGAGCTCAGCCAGTGTCACTCCAAGTGAAAATTGCACTTGTAGCACTGTCCTCCCGCTGTTCATCAATTTTCTCTAGCGGGTCCAGTAACGCCTCCATTGTGAGACTTGTTGTTACTGTGTTTGGCATATTGAATATGTCACGGGTAGCTAGCCAGGCTTTGTCATGCTGGTGAGATACTCTCGGTAGCTTGCCGGGCTCTTCGAGAGGGGCAGAGGAATTGAACCCGGCTCGGCCAGGCTGACCACACACAAGGCAAATGCCCTAGCACAGTGGTAGGGCATTTGCCTTGCACGTGGTCGGCCCAAGTGAAAATAAAACAACAACAAAAAGATTTCAGGTGTTGCGTATTTTCTGAGGTGGAGGAAGAATTGCTTCGTGTTTTGGAGGTATGGTAAGAGGAACCGCAGGCTCATTTGCATGTTTCTGGGCTCTTGTTTTGTCACTTGCATCAGAGACATGGGAGAGTTTCCATTGTCTTTGGCAGTACTGAGAAATGAGGAGATTATCTGCAGTTACATTTGATGGATGTTCCTGGTAAGTGCCTGGTAGTAGTTGATGCTTAAAGATTAGCTCTCCTTCATTCTGGTACTCTTCAACAGGCATGAGAGCAAAATTGAAGAGAGTTCAGGAAAAGTGCAAGAGCTAGTGTTAATGATCTTCCTTCCCGTGGAACCTTCTCCATGAGGCTCCTTATGCTGGCCATTAGCGAAGTCCTCTGTGTGGAGTGGCATGTTGAAGAAGGCTAGGTTGCATGTTCTTGGTGATCACGAGCTCATGACTCCTTTCTTTACTGCTAATCTTCCTAATAATCAGTGCTTCTTTAAGAAATGACAGTTTTTGTGACAGGCTCTGCACTCAGGAATTAGTCCTGGCAGTGCTCAGGGGACCATATGGGATGCTGGGGATCGAACCTGGGTCGGTCATGTGCAAGGCAAATGCCCTATCCACTGTACAATAGCTCTGGCCCCAGGATGTATATTTTCAATGTGAATGCATTTTTTGACCCATGAGTCAGCACTTTCGTTGGACTTGACAGACTTGTCTGGCACAGTGTAACAATGTGTGCTTTGTGTACCCTCTGAATGTTTCCAGCTCATACTGTTGATAAAGTGGCAGCATTATTTACTTCTTAGGTTTTGGTGCTCAAGGGTCACTTCTGACACTGCTCAGGGCTCACTGTGGTGGTGCTCAGGGCACCATATGTGGCGCTGGGGCTTGTATCTGGCTTGTCTGTGTGCAATGCAGTACCTGCTGTACCACCTCTGTGGCTCCTATAGCCCATTTTATTTATCTATTTGTTTTGGGGCCATACTTAGCAGTGCTCAGAACTTACTCTGGGCTCTATGCTCAGGGATCACTTATGGTGGTGTTCAGGAGACCCTATTGGGGTAACCAGGGATCGAACTCGGGTCTACTGCATGCAGAGCATACATCTTACCTGCTGTGCTATCTCTCCGGGCCCTCAGAAAAGCCTGATTTTAACCTCTGTTTTCCATTTCCTAGTTTGTGGGTATTTGGGAGTTTTCAGTAGATTGGTATGCTGCACTTTTCCTGTTATTCACTGCTGTTTGTGGTCCTTATAGCTTCTCTGTAGACAGGGGTCAACAGTCTGTGTGTTCCAGAACCCATCACTGCTGAGAGGCCTATGAAATAGAATTGAATTATTGCTTTCAGAGCCCAGAGAGATAGGCCAGCGCATGGGGCACTTCCTTATGGGCATCTCACCCGTGTTTGTTTCCCAGCACCATGTATGGTCCCTTGAGCCCCAGGAGTGACCTCAGAGCACAGCCAGGAGTGCTCCCCCCCTCGTTTTTTTTGGCCTGCAGATAGCAAGTAACTCTTTTTTATAAGTCATAGCTCATTTTTATTAGTGAGCTGGTGCTCTACCTGTTTAAATTTCATGGTGACTTATTTTTAAGGTGGCCACCATTATTGTTCATTTATATTTACTTAGAGAAGCCAGTTGATAGGCTACTCATCCACAGCCCGGTGGCCGAGGAGCAAGGAAAATGTGATTTCACACAGCTCACACTTGCCCCAGAGCCTGTGTGGGACGACCCTTCATTGCACTCGCCTGTCTCTGCTGCTGCAACCACTGCCCTGAAGCCTAAGAGCCTGGCATCTCTCCTGACCACTGTCTGAAGTGTGTGGGCAGTAGACCCGAGGGTAGGCAGGGAAGGTGGGAAGGGAGGACACCGGTGCCTTCAAGGGATGAAGTGTGCCTGTCCGGGGGAGGTAAGTCACAGTCGTGGGGTTGATGATGAGAGATTAAAGGAAAAAAAATGCGCAGAAGTGGCAACAGGTTCCCAAAAGTCTGGTCTCTATTTCATGAATTTCCTTTTAGAAGGAAAGTGTTTTTGCTTTGGTAACCTTTGGCTTCTTCTCTGCCTAGAGGACACTGTGGTAGCCCTTTCAGTGACAGGCATCCTGAAGGTGTGGATTGTCACCTCCGAAGTCAGTGGCATGCAGGTGAGACAAGTGTGTGTGTGTGTGTGTGTGTGTGTGTGTGTGTGTGTGGTGGGGGGGAACAATGCTTTCATTCTCATGGAGTTTTGAGTTTTAGAACTCATATGGCCTTTCCTTTTTTTTTTTCTCTTATAAGGGAAGAAAATGTTATTGTTGATATTGTAAAGACCATTCCCTAGTATAGTGTCTCTGTAAGTGAATTATCTTGTCCACTTTTTTTTTTTTTTGAGAGTTTCCTAGCAGGACTGGGGGGTGGGAGTACCAGGTGCCCAACATTGCTCAGGTGGTAACTTGTTTCCGGTTGTTGAATCCACGGGCTTGTGCTCTGGTCAGTCTCCCTTCCACTTTTGATGATGGACATCTGCCTGTCAGTGACAAACAGTGCACAAGATTTGAGGTGGAGAAGCATAGATGCTTCCTCAGCAGCTTATGTGTAAGTGGAAAGCTTGAGGGGAATAGAGGAGCAGATCCCCACGGACAGTATATGAAACCCCTCTTCCGGTTCCAGTGTTTGAACTCGAACTCCTTGTTAGTTTTCTCTGACTGAAGAAGTTCAGTGTTCAGGCAGGGTTCATGGTGATCTCCTCCATAGAGAGGTTTGGGAATGGGAAGTTGACTTGTTCTTTAAAACATGACAACACGTAGAGATACTGGAGCTCAACCAGGCTCAAGCTTGTATTATCTGTCATTGCTCCAGTGATGACACTTTGACTCATACCAGCTCCTTACTCTTGAGGAACTCTGTGCAGATACTGCACCTAGATGCTTGCAAAGGAAGCTCACTCTGTATACTGCTGGGTTCTCGCCTGACAGGCTGGACAGGATGAGTCTGTCACATAGAGCCTTTATTTTACTTGTTCTCTTTATCACATATGACCGAATTAATTGAAAAGCAAGCTGTTCTAAGGTTTTTCATTCTTTTTCTTTTTTCTTTTTTTTCAGGAAACTGAGCCAATATTTGAGGAGGAATCAAAACCAATTTATTGTCAGAATTGCCAAAGCATCTCTTTCTGTGCATTCACGCAAAGATCCCTTTTGGTTGTGTGCTCCAAATATTGGAGGGTAAGGCAACTTCATGAGTACGTTAAAGCTGTATGTTTTTCCCTTTCGAGATGCGACTTTATCAGCTGGCCAAGGACAACTGTGAGGTGACGTGGAGGGCAAAAACATCTCACCACTGGGAATTCATGTATGATTTGGTATTGTATTTGTGTTGGCTTTAGCCAGAGACAGTTGTCTTTTATGGTGGATCGATGACTCAGCTAATGGTTGTTATCTAATTGACCTTAGTTTTATTTGGTCAGTATCTTGTCAGACAGTCAAGCTGCGGTAGAATGGACACCTCTTTGTAGGTTGTTGCCTTCCCAGTGTAGCTGGGAGGCCTTCTCCCTCATTTAATTTAATTTAATTAAAAATTTTTTTTTATTAAAGCATTGTGATTTACGAAGTTGTTCATTACACAGTTGTTTCAGGCATCTAGTATTCTGGTACCATCAGCGTGACCTTCCCTCCACCAATGTCTCCAGTTTCCCTCCCAACGCCAGACTGTCCCCTCAGGCACATAACAAATTTACTTTAAATTGCTCGTTCCAAAGGGCCCGCTCGAGCAAATCGATGATCAACGGGAGGGCCTTTACCTTTGCTCGTTCCAAAAATCTTTAAAGAAATGGCACATAGAATGATCAGAAAATCAATCAGTAGGAGCCAATTTGTGATCGCTGAATGATTATAACCTACGTAAAGATGGAAATTAAAACCATTTGATGCAATATAATAAAATGCCTATTCTCACTTACATAAGTAAGTTTTCAGCTCTGGAATTTAAAGTACATTGCACTGTATTTTGTTTCATACTTGTGTCTCATCATAGTAGTCATTAGGTCTTTTTTTTTAATTTGTTTTCTAAAAAATTTATTTATTTATTTTTAATATTATTAAATCACCTTGAGAGAGTTACAAGCTTTCATGTTTGGGTTACAATCACACAGTGATCAAACACCCATCCCTCCACCAGTGCACATTCCTCACCACCAATATCCCTGGTATATGCCCCCCTCCCACCCTTCCCCTGCCTCCATGGCAGACAATATTCCCCATACTCTCTCTCTATTTGAGGACATTATGGTTTGCAATACAGACCCTGAGAGGTTATCATGTTTGGTCCTTTATCTACTTTCTGCACACATCTCCCATCCCGGCCTATTCCTCCAGCCATCTTTTTCTTAGTGATCCCTTCTCTATTCCAGCTGCCTTCTCCCCTTTGCTCATGAGGCAGGCTTCCAGCTATGGAGCAATCTACCTGTCCCGTGTATCTACTATCCTTAGGTGTCAACCTCATGTTATGTTGTCTTATACTGCACACATGAGTGCAGTCCTCTATGTCTGTCCCTCTTTCTGAATCATTTCACTCATTAGCATGATACTCTCCATGTCTATCCATTTATAAGCAAAGTTCATGACGTCATCTCTCCTGACAGCTGCATAGTATTCCATTGTGTAGATGTACCAAAGTTTCTTTAACCAGTCATCTGTTCTAGGGCACTTGGGTTGTTTCCAGATTTGGGATATTAGTCATTAGATCTCACCTGTCTGTAATAATCCTCCCTCACTTCAGGGCCGATGATGGAAGGAGCAGATCCCTGCCCCTTGTTAGACTTTCATGTTCCCACAGGAAAGGCCAGTTGTTTGTACCTGTCTTAGCCTTTCAAAGCTTCTCATGTAGTTTTTCCTTTGAATTCTTCCAACTCTCCTCGGGTAGGTGCACGAGATACCTAATCTCACTTAACTGCTTACTCCAAAACTTGACAGGCTTAGGTCAGGTCATCCCCTCGTTCCTGGTGCACGGCCTCTCTCAAGGACCAGTAAAGTTAATGGCTCTGCCAATAACTCGGGCAGATCTCTGCCAACCCACTCACAGCGGCTGGCGGGTCGCAGGTCTTCCTGACTGTTTCCTGGACACTCTGGTTCTTGCGCTGTGGACCAGCTCGGGAACTGTGTCCTGGCATTGTCAGCCAGGGAAGGGGAGCCCAGACCCGCCTAGTCATCTCTGCTCCTCCTCCAGTCAGGGACCAGTGAGGCTGCTTTCCAGGCTGTCCCCAGAAGAGGTTTGCTCGCACACTTAGTGGCTGAGGGGGAGACAGAGACAGTCCTGCTGCCCCCGGACCGATACTGCAGGAAGCCATGACCAAGCTTGTCCCTTCCCGTCCCAGAGGCAGCACGGCTGCCTGAGTGCTCACGTGTGTTTATTGCAGGCCTCTTACAGTCATGTGACAATAGCCATTTCCTTTTTCTTTTTTTCTTTTCTTTTTTTTTTTGCTTTTTGAGTCACACCCAGTGGTGCTCAGGGGTTACTCCTGGCTCTGCACTCAGGAATTACTCCTGGCGGTGTATGGGGGAACCCTATGGGATGCTGGGGATTGAAGTTGGTTGGCCGTGTGAGGCAAACGCCCTTCCTGCTGTACTATACTCTAGTCGTACAATAGCCATTTCTTTCCTTTATTTTTTTCCTCTTAAGATTAACATCATTGTTAATCTTAAGAATAGGCGTTTGTTTGCCTGGTTTGGGGGTCACACCAGGTGGTAGACATTCCTGGCCTGGCGCTCAGGAATCACTCCTAGATGTGTGACGGGGAACCACAGAGGGTGCTGGCGTGAATGCAAGGCAAGCGCCCTTCCTGCTGCTGTACAGTCTCTCTAGACCCGAGATGAGCCTTTTCTTGCATCAACCACTAGTGGTGAAAAGGAAAAACCCCATCGCACAGAGAGAACTATCTGATGCAGAGCTTGTTAAGGGTTTCCAAAGCCCAGCTCTGGCTGGGGAGCACGGGAGGGCTGGGGAGAGCACCAGGCAGGTTGGTGGGCCTGGGGTGGGGGGGTTTGTGGAGAGCACTGCGCCCGGGCAGGTTGGTGGGCTGGGGAGTGGGGGAATAGCACTGCGCCTGGGTAGGGGGCTCAGTGCCGTTCCCCACATCTCCACTGTGCCTCCCTTTCATCAGCCTCTTCCTTTGTAATTAAAAAGGAGCGATCTGTTGAGTGAGAATCCCAGCAGGCAAACCAGTGACACTTCTGTGATCACTGATCACAGACCAGTGATCCCAGCAAACGGGTGACCCCAAAGTAGAAGGGGAAAGGGATGTTCCGTGAAAGGGGAAAGCCACGTGGCCCGTGAATGGACACCAAGGTGTCTGGTTGCACAGAGCACCCAGGGAATGCACGTGGAGATGCTGAGATAGTGTCCCTGCAGCGACTTTTCCCGGATCCGGGCTGCTAGGAGCCCGTCTTCAGCTCCCATCTGGAGAGATTCCCTTCATTTAGGGTTCCTGATGCCCTTTCTGATGTGTTCTAAAGGGCTCACCCAATCTACATGTTGGCTGTGGGTTTCGACACACCCAGCTGCGCTCTGGGCTTACTCTTGGCTCTGGAGCTCAGGAATCACTCCTGGCAGAGTCCAAGGACCATGTAGCGTGCCAGGGGTCGAACTCGGGTCAGCCATGTGCAAGGCAGACAGCCCACCAGCCCCGAGCTGCACTTTGGAGGCTAGAGCAATAGAAGAGGAGGTCGGGCACTGTGTCTAACCTGGGACTGGTTCCCAGCACCCCATGTGGTTCTCCAGCATACCAGGAGTGATCCCCTGAGCACAGCCAGGGGTGGCCCCAAAGCAAACAAATTTTAATGCTTTGCTATAGTCATTGTATGATTTTATTACCACAGGCATGTTTACATCTTGACTTTTATTTTAAAAAGTCTCATATTTGTTTTCTCAATGAGAAAAATTAAAATACTGCGATTTACAATATTGTTCATAATACAATTGTTTGAGGTATTCAATGTTTCAAAACCAATCCCACCACCAATGGGACCTTCCCTCCACCAATGTCCCCAACGTGCCCCCTGACCCCCACAAACCTGCCCATTTAGCAGGCACAAAGTAATTTACTTTATACTGCTTGTTGTGGGCTGGAGCGATAGCACAGTGGGTAGGGCATTTGCCTTGCCTTGCACACGTCGGACCGGGTTCGATTCCTCCGCCCCTCTCAGAGAGCCCGGCAAGCTACCGAGAGTATCCTGCCTGCACAGCAAGCTCCCCCGTGGTGTATTCGATATGACAAAAACAGTAACAAGTCTCACAATGGAGACGGTACTGGTGCCCGCTCAAGCAAATCGATCAACAATGGGAGGACAGTCCTACAGTGCTACTGCTTGTTGCAACATAAACTTCATAGCGGTGTTACTAAAGTCACTGTCCAAGGATTTACTGAGTCGTTATGATACTGAGCCTTCTGTGTTACTGCTTTTTTTCACAAAACTCGGTGGGATTCTTCGCAACTCCCCTATCTAATTTGCTGTACTGCAGCTGGGCTGTCACTGTGACATTTGAAGGCACTGTGCTGTGTGGCTGTGTGCTCCAGGAGCCTGGAATGGGAACGACTCAGTTTCTCAGCATCTCTTCCAGATCAGTCATGGAACTGTGAAGCAAAGGATGTTGGCAGGGGGTGTGCGCTGTGCCTCCTGGCATGTCCGGTACTTAGCCTGCCCCCCTCTCCTCCGCCCCCCGAGAATGCTCCTAAGATCTCAGCCCAGAGAGAGTCTTACCTATGTTTCCAACTTTAATCTGAATTTTTTTTTTTTTATCTCAATAGTGGGATGTGGATTCGGTTTGTTTTTACTTCAGATGGATGAGCCCCAACTCCAGTTTTTTTTTGTAAAGTAAAAGTAAAGTAAAGGCCTTCCCGTTGATCATCGATTTGCTCGAGCGGGCCCAATAACGTCTCCATTGGAGACTTTGTTGTTACTGTGTCTGGCATATCGAATACTCTCGGTAGCTTGCCGGGCTCTAGTTTTTTTTTTTTTTTTTTGCTTTTTGGGTCACACCTTTCAATGCACAGGGGTTACTCCTGGCTCTGCACTCAGGAATTACCCCTGGCGGTGCTCAAGGGACCATATGGGATGCTGGGAAACGAACCCGGGTCAGCCCCCTGCAAGGCGAACGCCCTACCTGCTATGCTATTGCTCCAGCCCCTCCAGGGCACCTTTTAATGAATGACTGTCTTCTGCTGTGCTTGTGTAAATCGTTTGTAATACACTCTTACTGGATTCTGTTTCCGGACCTGCTGTCCATTCATTCATTGATGCTATCTTTTATTTTTCCTACTTTGTTTTAATAAATAATAAGTCTGGAGGACCTGGTTCCCTTCATCATTCTTTCTCAGACTTAGCTGTTCTTTTAATGTCAGTGTTCTATTAATGATTAATAGGAAAGCAAATCATGGTATATTATACAATGATTTGTTCTAATTTTAATACCCAGTACAATTTTATTAGTTTAACTTTTTTCCTCTTATTTTTGGGGGGCTGGTCATACCTGGCACTATTTAGGGGCCATTCAGGACTCCTGGCTCTGCAACGGCCTACCCTCTGGGGTCACTCCTGGTGGTGCTTGAGGACCATGTGGCCCTTGCTTACATCACATGTGCGGTAGACCTTGAACCCACCTCTCAGGCCCCCACGATTTTTTTTATAAAGAGAAATAGTATAAACTCTATGGCTCAATTCCATAAGGAATTTTTTTTTTTTTTTTAGCAAAACAGAATGTAGCACTGGTAGCACTGTCCTCCCATTGTTCATCAATTTGCTCGAGCGGGCCCAGTAACGTCTCCATTATGAGACTTCTTGTTACTGTATTTGGCTTACCGAATATGTCATGGGTAGCTTGCCAGGCTTTGCCGTGCGGGCGAGATACTCTCAGTAGCTTACCGGGCTCTCTGAGAGGGGCGGAAGAGTCGAACCCGGGTCAGCCGTGTGGGCCATGTGCAAGACAAATGCCCTACCCACTGTGCTATCCCTCCAGCCCAATACAGAATGTGCTCTTCTTAATTATTGAAGGTGGTAGAAATTCTGTTAGGCTGGGTAAGACCAGGATTTAGCGAGCTCTTTCCCCGGACCTTAAAGGGTGCTAGAACCTTTCCTTGCACTGGTTTCCTGTCTGTCATTCAATCCTTGCTTGTCTGCCTAATTTCAGGGTCATGTGTGATAAAGTCCTAAAGGAACATTTTTGAGGGGATTGTGGGAGTCCTGGTAGTGCTTAGGGGCTCCTCCTAGCGCTGTGCTCTGCTCAGGTATGCACTTTTGAACGTTTGCCAGTGGGCTGCAAAGTGAGCACCTTCACCCCTGCACTATTGCTCCAGCCCCTTTAAAGGTGTGTTGTAAACTGTTGTACCTTGGAAATGTCAGGTTAACAGCTTGTGTGACTGATGACGTTTTTTTTCTTTTTTGGCTTTTTGGGTCACACCCAGTGATGCTTGGGTTGCTCCTGGCTCTGAAGTCAGGAATTACTCCTGGCGGTGCTTTGGGGACCATATGGGATGCTGGGCATCAAACCCGGGTTGGCTGCGTGCAAGGCAAATGCCCTACTCACTGTACTATTGTTCCAGTCCCACTGATGACATTTTAAGGAAGGGTGTTTTTTGTTTTTATTTATTTATTCTTTTTGGTTCAGAGGACTGAACTGTGAGGCCTGCTTGTACCACTGACCCACATCCTTGACTTTCGATTGGACTTTTTGTTTGTTTGGGGGCCGTACCCTGATGTGCTGAGTTATAACTCTTGTTGATTGCTTGGGGATCTCTCCTGGCAGTACTCAGGGGTCATGCAGTGCCAGACCTGTATCCAGGCCTCCTGTAAAGCACGTACCGCCTTCTCAGCATTCCCCAGTCCTTTGATTAATTTTTTTACGCATGAAAATTATTAAATTAAAAAAAACAGCATTGGTTTCTGTTTGTAGTATTTGGATTATCAATAAAATGTTGGTCTTTTGTTCCTGGGCATCCTTGGAAGGAGTGCTGACCCTATAGGTGAGAAAGGCCAAGGTCCCCTGCCCTTGTTCCAGAAGCTCCCTGCCCACTGGCCCCCCCAGGGGCCGTGCCCTGCCTGCTGCCTTCCTCCTGCTCGGCTCTGGCTGCAGCTGGCTGGCCACACACCTGTGCCGGAGATGTGTCCTTGGGCCGTTTGTGTCGGCTGAGTGCATCGCCCGAGGTGGTTTCTGTTCAGGAGATGCAGGTCACTGCACCTCGCTTGAATGACACCAGGTAGGCCAGAGTGTGAAGTTCTCACTCCTTGTTAGGTGTTTGATGCCGGTGACTACTCCCTTCTGTGCTCGGGGCCCAGTGAGGATGGACAGACATGGACTGGAGGTGACTTTGTGTCCGCAGACAAAGTGATCATCTGGACTGAACACGGGCAGAGTTATGTTTACAAGCTTCCTGCCAGGTACTCAGTGCAGACAAAGTTAGTGTTTTGTTTATTTATTTATTTATTTATTTATTTCTGGGGGTGGGATGTGGGGTAGGGAAGCACATTCGGCAGTGCTCAGGGCTCACTCCTGGCTCTGTGCTCAGGGATCACTCCTGGTGGGCTCCGGAGACCATATGTAGTGCTGGGGATCGAACCGGGTCGGCTGCATCCAAGGCGAGCACCCAACGCCTGATCCAACCCCGAAGTTAGTGTTATGATCAAAAGTTAAAGTTTCGAAGTTTGGGGCAAAGCCTGAAAGTATGAATACGGTTCAAATGTATTTCTTCAATTTAGGTAAAAGTTAGAACTTTAAAGTCTCGTTTGCGATTTGAGTGTAGTTGCTTTTTTTGTTGTAGTGACTAGTGATAGTACTCAGACTTCATGTCTGAAGTGTGTGTTTCATGGTTGAGTCATATCCCTGCCCCCATTTTTAACTTCTAAGTACCAAAAAAAAAAATTGTTGGATTTTTTTATTTGAAGTCTGTATTTTTATAACATGAGTTATTTAAATTAATGGCTACATGGAAATTACTTCGAAATTCTTATTTTGTCTGTTGTCAAAAAACCTTCATCATATGATAAAACACTTGATGTCAGTATTTTAATTGAATGTTGTATTTTTCTTGTTTTCAGTTGCCTTCCTGCTAGTGATTCATTCCGCAGTGATGTGGGGAAAGCAGTTGAAAATTTAATTCCTCCGGTACAATATAGCCTCTTGGATAGAACAGATAAAGAGGTAAAATTCTTCAGGTATCATTTATATTGATAGTTAAATTGAAAAAAAATTTTACGACTTTGTTTATGTGTGTCTTTTGGTACCTAAGCATTTGAAAGATTCAATACAATTAGACAATGCACTCTAATTGTAATGTAATTGCAATTGTAATATGCGGCAATATGTTAGATGTTATAAAACATTTTGACATTGTCAATTAGAAGAATAATAAAAATTTGCATATATTAAAGTATAATTTGCCTATAATATAGCATTCATCTATATCATAGCACTCATTTTTCTCTAAGAATAAGAATGTCTAGTATGTAATGGCAGTGACTTTTTGATGAAATTCCTATTAATGTGTAAATTTATTTTCCCTATCTTAATGTTATAAATATGGACATATCGTGTCAGAAGGTCACAGATAGGTGTGCAATGTGAAAAGTAGTTCATTATTTGAACTGGCGTTGCCTTAGCTACCAAAAGGATCACATAGTGATTTAAATCATTAGGCAGTGGAAGAGAAGAATGAAAAATGTTTTCATTAAACATTAAATAAAAAATAAAAATAAAATTTTAGGGGCCCGAGAAATAGGAGAGGGGTTAAAAGCAGTTACCATGCATCCCACTGGTGCCGGCTTGAGTTCCTGGCGCTCGCGATGATGGCCCAAGGACCCCCAGGAGTCGGTTCCTGAGCACAGAGTCAGGAGTAGCCCCTGAGCACTGCAGTGTGGCCCCAACCCAACCAACAAACAAAAAATTAAAACCACACAAAACTTTTTATTATAACGATTTTTGTAACGGTGCTTAATATTTCAGTTTGAGATGCAGCAGCACTTTCTACTGGCCTTTCAGCTTAACTCTTTGAGCAAAGAGAATGAAGCGCTGAGGCCAGAGTGGTAGTGCAATAGATAGGTGCTAGTCTTGTTTGCAGCTGCCCTAAGTTCTGTTCCTGGCACCCCATAGCACTACTGAATATGGCCCCAAACCCAATAAACAAACAAATAAATAAACAACTAAAATAAAATCTTGCAGCTTAATGAAAAAAGAAGCTTGGGTTTAGGAATTAATGTTTCCTTCATTTATGTTCTGAGCACTGAGCTACTTTTGCCCTATCTTTATGTGGAAGACTTATAAGGGAAGAGAGTGGCTCTTTCCATGAATATTTTATTTATTTTATTTTTATTTTTTCCTTTTTGGGTCACACCCAGCAATGCTCAGGGTTTATTCCTGGCTTTGAACTCAGGAATTATTCCTGGCAGTGCTCAGGGGACCATATGGGATGTCGGGGATTGAACCTGGGTCGGCCGTGTGCAAGGCAAATGCCCTACCCGCTGTGTTGTCGCTCCGTGCCCTCCATTTATATTTTGAACCTGCTGGATTTATACTTCTGTGTACAGTTAAAAGCCTCCATAACCTATTCTTTTTGTTTTTTTAATTCTTTTCTTTTTTATTTATTTTTTGCTTTTTGGGTCACATCCGGCAATGCACAGGGATTACTCCTGGCTCTGCACTCAGGAGTTACTCCTGGCGGTGCTCAGGGGATCCTAAGGGATGCTGGGAATCGAACCTGGGTTGGCTGCATGCAAGGCAAATGCCCTACCCGCTGTGCTATTGCTCCAGCCCCCTCCATAACCTATTCTTGATTTTATTGGTTTATTTATTGTTTTATTTATTTATTTTTTCTTTTTGGATCACACCCAGTGATGCACAGGGGTTACTCCTGGCTCTGCACTCAGGAATTACTCCTGGCTGTGCTTGGGGGACCATATGGGATGCTGGGAATTGAACCCGGGTCGGCCGCGTGCAAGACAAATGCCCTACCCGCTGTGCTGTTGCTCCAGCCTGTTTATCATAATCTTTATAAAATGAAAAAATTAAAAAAATATCTTTATATTTTAATTGTATTATCATAAGATACACAGTTACAAAGATGTTCATGATTGGGTTTCAGTCCTACAGTGTTCCAACATGGGTCCCTTCACCTGTCCACATTTTCCACTCCCAGTTTCCCGTTACCCCTCCTCCCCACCTGTCTCTATAGCAGGTGCTTTTCTTCTCTCTCTCCTCTTGGGCATTATGGTTTGTAGTACAGATGCTGAAAGGTTATCATGTATGTTCCTTCACCTCCTTTCAGCACTCAGTACTTGTCCAGAGTGATGATTTCCAACTGTCATCGCCATCGTGGTCCCTTCTGTATCCTAACTGCCTACTGCCACAACATACTTGTGGAAAGCTTCAACTGTGGGGCAATCCTCCTGACTCCTGTTTTTTTCTATTTTTAGATATTATTCTCATACTATTTTTTTTTATATCCCACAAATGAGTGTAGTTTTCTATGCTAAGTCAAATGAGTCAGAAGGAGAGGGACAGACATAGAGTAACGGATCCTTGGTATTAACTGGAAATCTTGTTACTGCTCTTCCATGAGTTTGAGTGAAAAGGATAACGTGCATGTGTGCATATATGTATAAATATACATGTATGTCTATATGTATATGTAACTATGGACAGTAGAGAGGGTAAGACGCTTGCATGTGGTGAACCCCAGTTTGATCTCTGGCACCGCATACGGTCCCCGGAGCACTGTCAGAAGTGATCCCTGAGTGTCGCTGGGGGTGGCTCACAAAACAAATACTAAAAGCAAAACCCACATAATTATCAGCTCCCTAATGCATTTCCTTGGTTTTGGTTTTGGTTTGGGGCCACACCGGGCGGTGCTCAGGGCCTCCTCCTGACTCCACTCGGGATCACTCCTGGAGAGGCCGGGGAAGCCCTGCGCAGTGCTGGGGGTCTACCCTGGGTCAGCATGCGCCAGGCCGGCTCCCTACCCCCTGGCCTGTCTCTCTGGCCCCAGGCACTCTGTTTTGTGGTGGTGCCACTGTTGTCACCAACAGCAGAGCCACCAGGGCCAAGCAGGAGGGCTTCAGGGTTGTGCTGGGTGCAGGTGGCACTTGGGACCGGAAATTCACCTGGCCGGGCCTAGGTAGCTCTGTGCTGGCTCTCCAGGCCTGTTTCTCATGTTTTAAGGAAATCAACAAAGGCTCAAGTTTTCTAGTGGAAATACTGTTTCAAAAATGCAGTGCTGCTGGATTGTGGCTCAGCATAAAGCCCTGGTCTGGCTTTGGCCTGAGGCCTTGGGATGGGTTCCTGCCACCTCGGAGGCAACACAAAATAACAGTGTGCTCACTCCTGGCTCCTTCCGTCCCTGTCTTGCTAACAAAGCAAACGTCTACAGATACCCCAATAAACTCCTTTTGCTTCTAGTAGTGTGTAGCTAGCATCCCAGACCAGGTTCCTGTTGATTATGTAAGATGTTAAACTACTCTTATGGAGTAAAAGAAAACCAATTAAAATTTAAGTTCTGTAGTTGCACAAGATCAGAAAGTGATCTCTCTCCCTTTCAAGTTTTGTTGTTGTTGTTGTTATTTTGCTTTTGGAATGAATGTTTCCTTTACTTGCGTTCTAAGCATGTGGAACCTGAAGTGTTCAAGATATAGTCCTGGCTCTGTGCTCAAGAGTGCCCCCCGGAGGTTCTCAGGGGAACTTATGCAGTGCTGGACCACAAACTAGGCTTGGTGGTGGGGCTGGAGCCATTCTACAGCGCTTGCCTTACATGCAGCCAACCTGGGCTGGATCCCGGCTTCCCATATAGTCCCTGAACCCACCAGGAGTGATCCCTGAACTCAGAGCCAGGAACTCTGAGCACTGCTGGGTGTGGCCCCCAATCAAAAGGAACAAACTAGGGATAGTTGATGTAGGCAAGTGCGATTTTGCTGGAATACCCTTTTGACTTTTAAGTAGAGACTTTTGTTTTTGGTAAAGAGTGGTTTGTCTGTGTATTAATTATTATTATTATTTGCTTTTTGAGACACACCCAGCGAATCTCAGAATCTCCTGGTTCCGCACTCAGGAATTATTCCTGGCAGTACTTGAGGAACCATAGGGGAGGATGGGGGGCATTGCAGAGGGATGAATTGAATCCAGATTAGCAGCATGCAAGGCAAACGCCCTACCTGTTATACTATGGTGCACATCATTTGTGGAGTAAAGAAAAGTATACAGATAACCAAGTCTGGAGGAAAGCTGCAAGATTGTTTTATTCTTTGATGTATTATACTGGACTTGAATATTGTCCACTGTCACTGTCCTCCCGTTGTTAATTGATTTGCTCGAGCGGGTCCAGTAATGTCTCTATTTTGAGACTTGTTACTGTGTTTGTCATATCGAATACATCATGGGTAGATAGCCAGGATTTGCCGTGTGGGTGAGATACTCCCGGTAGCTTGCTGGGCTCTCCGAGAGAGGCGGAGGAATTGAACCCAGCTTGGCCGGGCTGTCTGTGTGCAAGGCAACCGCCCTACCACTGTGCTATCACTTCAGCCCCTTGAATATTACTTAACATGTATATAAATCTGCAAAATTGTAGGCTTAGAATCTTTATCAGAAAAAATGTCAACGTGTGAAATTTTTTAGTTGAATATATTTGAACTTTTTTTATTTCCCCCCTCTCTGACAGTTGCTAATTTGCCCTCCTGTTACTCGGTTCTTCTATGGAGACAAGGAATCTGTCCATAAACTATTGATCCAGGGTGATTCTTCTGGAAGACTGAATATTTGGAGCCTCTCAGACACACCTGATAAACAGAAAGGTGAAGGCAATACATACAACTGTGCAGCAATTTCTTTGTTCTTTGGATGTAACAATCTAAATTCTAAGCCCAGACACACACACTAATAATACACCTCTGTTAGTTTCTTCTGAGAATCCCAGCTGATGCGTTTGTCCATTCCTTGCCCTGTCCCAGAATGCAGCACACACACACACATATTTCCTCGAAGGCGCTGGCCGCTCTTAACTTGCATGAATGTCTTTCTTTCATCCAAGACGCCGCCTCCAAGGAACTGAAAGTCACCACTTCCATCAGCTTGCAAGAGGCGTTTGACAAACTCAGCCCGGTTCCCGCGGGCATCATCGACCAGCTGAGCGTGATTCCCACCAGCCAGGAACCCCTGAAAGTCACGGCGAGCGTGTACATCCCCGCGCACGGCCGGCTGGTGTGCGGCCGGGAGGACGGCAGCATCGTCATCGTGCCCGCCACGCAAACAGCCATCGTGCAGCTGCTGCAGGGCGAGCACATGCTCCGCAGAGGTACCGCGACCGCCCCGCCGCGACTGCCCCGTGCCTGCGCGCTGGCTTCTCCCCAGGCCCGAGTTGTTGGGGGCGGGGTTGTGGGCAGTGGAGGCTGCACCCGGTGCCTGGACCAGGGCCACCTGATGGCTGTAGATGCAGTATCCGAAAACTCGATCTCGTAGATCGATGCCTGCTGCCTTTGATTGGTAGTTCTACCCATAGCTTATAAAATTTCATATCGATGTATCGAGACCTTATCAGTTTATAAAATATTATACCGATGATTCTTTATCATCCTAATAAAGCAGCATGTCATTTTCTAATAGTCCATTAAAAAAAAAGCAAAGATAAAGCAAGGTGGAATGAACTTTAATGAACTTCTATTTTATTTTACCTAACGTGATCCCCCCAAAAAAACAAAGCCCTATTTTTTTTACTTGGTGTGCCCCCCAAAAAAAAGACAAAACTCCAAAATTTTTATTTCACTTTAATAGAAAAGTATTGATTGTTCTATTAATAGTCAATAGAAAAGCAGTTACTGAGGTATTTTTCTGTTTTTTTTTTTTTGCACTGAGTCTTGTACGCCTCCAGTAAATTTTGCCTTTATGGCACACCTGAATCTGAACTGGTCACCTGCCAGGGGCTTGTAGAAGACAGAGTTAGAAGCGTTTTTCCGTGGTTGTGCTCCTCGCGGTTCTGATGCTTCATGTTTGCTTTTAGGTTTCGAGACTTTGTCCGATGTTAACTTTCCGTTTCAAATCCGGACCCTCATTCACAGGTTGGCCGCCGCACAGGACGCTCCGTGGCCATCGGAACAAAGTCACATGTTTGCTATATCCTCATCAGGTCTCAGCTCGTTATGATCAGAGATACCTGGTGTCTGGAGGTGTGGATTTTTCAGTCATAATTTGGGACATATTTTCCGGAGAAATGAAGCATATCTTCTGTGTGCACGGGGGCGAGATCACTCAGCTTCTAGTCCCGCCCGAAAACTGCAGTGTAAGTTTGATACGCAAAGATGATTTGGTCATGGTAGCAGGAAACGGTCAGATGGAAGAATGATGAAATCCCGTATGCCTGAAAGACAGCTGATGAGCAAATGAATGAAAGGCCTTGTCAGTTTGAAAATTGATAGTAGCGTTAACAGTGTTCAGACAAAGTTCTGATTATTCTTGGACCTACTGAACTAGGAGTTGCACACAATCAAATGACTCTGGGCTAACTGCATTTCAAAATGAGTTGCAGTAAGTAAAATATCTAAGAGACGTGTAACCTACTGAATGTTGAGTAGGTCCCTCCTACACTAGGGTCAGACTAGTGGTGCCCGGTGGGCAATACAGGCGTGAGACACATAGTCAAGAAGACTGGTACTTGGACAGTGATGTAATTTACTCATTGTAGACTTACCAATAAGGATTTTCTTGACATTCAAAGGTACTGATTAAGAGAAAGTACCTTGTGTGATAATTTAACAAGTGAACAATGACTGCCTAGTTAACAGCCTTCTCGTTCCCTCCCGTCTTCCTTCTTCCTTCTCCCAGGTGTAGCTTCTAGGCCGGAGGGGCCCACTCCTAGAACAGGAACATTTTCTTTTGTTCCTTCCTTCATTGATTTTTCAGACAAAGAAACTGGATTTTTAAAAACGAAAACATTTTCTTTCATTTCCACTCTGTTTACTTACAGGGAAACTACATTTGGGCTGGGGGTAGGGGAACAAAGACCACCTAAGAAAATGACTGCGCCCAGTCTTCTTTGTTCCCTTTGGTTTTTGAGTGACATCCCTTGTGAGCCTCATACCTGCTTCAGTACTGAGGGATTGTGCCTGGCAGTGCCCGGGACTGTGCAGGGCTGGGGTCGCACGTAGACCTCATGGGCACATGCATGCCAGCCCTGGGTTCCTTTCCTCCGCCCTTTGCTTTCTCTCTGAGATCTCCCAGAGGTGCTTAGGGGTCCAGGCAGAGCTCGGACTTGAATGGTGACCTGCAAAGGGGCTCCTGCATGCAAAATACGGGCTTCCACTCTCTGCATCATCGCCGGGGGTCTGTTGGATATTTTCTACTCCTAGTGCTGGGGGCTGCTGAACCCCTGGGAGACCCGTTACCCCAGCACCGAGCCACATGAGCACTGAGCCCTGGCCTCAAGAGCGATAGCACAGCGGTAGGGCGTTTGCCTTGCATGCAGCCAACATGACCGACCTGAGTTCGATTCCTCCGCCCCTCTCGGAGAGCCTGGCAAGCTACCGAGAGTATCTTGCCCGCACGGCAGAGCCTGGCAAGCTACCCGTGACGTATTCGATATGCCAAACACAGTAACAACAAAGTCTCCAATGGAGACATTACTGGGCCCGCTCGAGCAAATCGATGATCAACGGGAGGGCCTTTACTTACTTAATTTTATTTTAGTAATTTTTTTTTGTTGAATTGCAGTGAGATACAGTTATGAGGTTGTTCATAAATCAGTTCCAACACCCATTCTTTTACCACTGTACATTTCCCACACTAGTGTCCCCAGTTTCCCTCCCATCCAGCATCCCCCCTGCAATCATTTTAAATTGCCAGGAGTACATTTTATAAAACATTTAAAAAAATGTTTTAAAACATTTCCCTTAAGCAAACTAAAATCCAAATCCAAATAGGATCGACTGGAATGAAGATCTGGATATCAACAAGTAATAGAGGTGACCTAATAGACTAAATAGTCTTTTTTCTTATTTCATTAATTTTTTTTTCTTTTTAAAAACTGGAATCACCATGAGACCCACGTTACAGAGTCGTTCTCACCCATGGAATGACGCTGGTGCCTGTTTATAGTGGCCGAGCGGTGCCCCTCAGTCCCCGCACCGGCTTTGTGGCTCCCCTGGTGACCACGTTGAGAAGTGCAGCCTGTGGTGTGGAGGGGGGGGGGGGGCGCGGCGGCAACACAGCGGGCTTCCACCCATACACATTTTATTTATTTTTAATTTTTTTTTTTTGCTTTTTGGGTCACACCCAGTGACACACAGGGGTTACTCCTGGCTCATGCACTCAGGAATTACTTTTGGCAGTGCTCGGGGGACCATATGGGATGCTCGGAACCCGGTGGACCGCATGCAAGGCAAACAAAGTCCTGCCCGCTGTGCTATCGCTCCAGCTCCCCCACACACATTTTAGAAATACATACTGTATTTATGGACATATGCATAGGGAGTCAACACTGTCAAACACTGACCTCCCGTTGTTCATCGATTTGCTCGAGCGGGCCCAGTAACGTCTCCATCGTGAGACTTATTGTTACTGTGTTTGGCACATTGAATACACCACGGGTAGCTTGCCAGGCTTTGCTGTGCCGGTGAGATAACTCTTGGTAGCTTGCCGGTCTCTTGCCGAGAGGAATCGAACCTGGCTCGGCCAGGCTGGCTGCACGCAAGGCAAACGCCCTACCGCTGTGCTAGAGTACTGAAACTTGAAAGGCCAGTACCGAACGCAGGTTCTCCTTTACCTATAGGAATGAGGAGACTCAGTGTGGAAGTGGTTAAAAGTAAAAGAGAGTAATGTCTTCAAAGGCCGCGTGATGGTTACGGTCAGTAAACAGATACTTAATTTTCTCTTCATTGGCACAGGTGAATGGATTCTGGGAGCTTTTTGCTGCTTCAACTTTTATTTAGAACAGAACTTTTAGAACTGTTTTAAAATAAATTGTTTACACCCCAATCATGTTCCTCCTGTGCAAGCAGGCTGTATCCTTCATTAAATTAGTAAAAAAAAGAAAATTATATTTCACTACTACATTTCACTCACCTTTCAATGTTGCATAATCCCAGAGTGTCCAGAAGGGGGCAGCATGGTTCTGTGAAAACAGCAATACCCGCCTCTAATCAGTAAATCCGAATTTGTGCCTTCATTTGATGATACCCCTGGCTTTTAGGGACAGATATACGACAACACGAATGTGACAGTATGTGTGGTCATGTGGCCAGTGCTCAAGGAGCAATGCAGCAATTCTCTTTTGAGCTGTATTAGTCTTTCTGAAAAAAGTACAGCTTTTACGTGAATTCTTATCTCACCCTTTGAAATTTGTACTTTGTTATTAATTTAATTTGAATGTTGTATCTTTGAGAAAGCAGGTCTAGACTTCGTTACTGAAGCCACCTAGAGAAATTCTGGGAATCCAAATTAAGCAAAACCAGGAAGCAGAACTGCATAATTTTTTTTCCTAAAATTTTCACAATGCACATATTTCTTGATACTTTTATTTTTAACACTTTCCCTTAGATTTTTTTTCATGACCATTTTCACATTAAAAAAAATGGGTTATACCTTTTGAAAACAAATTCTCAGGCTAAGAAGATGACTCTGAGAGCTGACAGCAGGTGTCACCGTGGGAGCTGGGTTTGATCCTGCGACCGCACCTCCAGGAGCCTCTCCAGCCATTGAGTGGGAGTAAGTCCCCCCACACTGCTGCATGAGGCCCCAAAAGAAAACGTAGCGTTATGTAGGGAAATGAAACAGACCATTGTCATAGAAAATGCAGATATTTTCTAGCCTTTGCCTCTTAAAAATGGTATCAGATTTTTCCTAAGATTATCAGGTCTTTTCTAAGGATTCTCTTTCTTGGTTTGCAATGCTTTGCTTTTGTTTGATTTTGATTTTTTTTTCTTTTTGGGTCACACCCAGTGATGCACAGGGGTTACTCCTGGCTCTGCACTCAGGAATCACTCCTGGCAGTGCTTGGGGGGCCACATGGGATGCCTGGGATCAGACTTGGGTCGGCCGTGTGCAAGGCAAATGCCCCACCCGCCATATCATCTCTCTGGCCCACTTTTGCTTGATTTTTGCCTTTTTGCTGGGGAGGTGACGCATGTGCATGGCAAGTGCCCTCCTGCTGAGCCCCACCCTTGCTCCCTGCTTTCCCTGTCAGTTCATTCTCATCATTTTGTTTGTTTGTTTGTTTTGATTTTTGGGTCACACCCAGCAATGCACAGGGGTTACTCCTGGCTCATGCACCCAGGAATTACCCCTGGCGGTGCTTGGGGGACCATATAGGATGCTGGGAATCGAACCCGGGTCGGCTGTGTACAAGGCAAACGCCCTACCCGCTGTGCTATCGCTCCAGCCCCTATTCTCATCATTTTGAATGACATTTTGCACTTCATTGTTTGTTTAGTTTTGTCAGAAATTTTAGGATGTTGCATTAAATATTTTTTTTTCTTACCTAAAAGAAGCCACGTGAAAAATTAGTGTAGCTCAATATGTCCACACATCTGGGATATTTGGGAGCATACATTCTTGCCTATCGACTTGCTTTATAAAAAGGGCATGTCACTTTTATTGGCCTGTGAGTAGGTCTCACCAGATTGTGCTTCAGAAACTAAAGAATTGATTTATACAGGTACTGATACTATTCTCACCATTTTTTTCCCTCACCATGTTTTTACCCTAATTTTAATCTATTAAGACTGGCAAATGTACCTAGCTTGTAAATGGCTGTGTGTAGAATAGGTCTAAGTGTGGGCCACTATTTTCTTATTTTAAAGTATAATTGTTATTACTATGCCAAGATGTTATTGGTTGACCATTGTGATTGGTTTCTGTTTTATTTCCTTGTAATTTTGCTTTCTGAGGTTCATTTTTTTTTCCAATCTTCATCGATCAACAACTTTATTACAGTGGCCGTGGGGGAGGGGCGGCATGTCCTCCCTTCTTCCCTCAGTGGCCCTACTCCAGGCACTCTGCAGCTTGAGAATGCGTTTCAAAGTTTTTTGTTGTTTTTTATTTTTATTTTTTTGCTTTTTGGGTCAATGCTCAGGAGTTACTCCTGACTCTTACTCAGGAATCACTCCTGGAGGTGCTTGGGGGACCATGTGGGATGCCGAGGATTGAACCTGGGTCAGCTGCGTGCAAGGCAAATGCTTTACCCGAGCTGTGCTATTGCTCCGGCCCTGGGTTTCCAAGTTTTAACTATGATCCAGTCACTAATGTTTTCAAGACAATTTAAAAAAATGTATTTTTTTTTTAAAGACA